CTAGGGTGCACGGAGCTAACCCACAAGGGCCTCCGGGAAGAGGGGGGCTTTGAGGCTGTCCCACTGCAGCAGTCCCACACCTGCAGCCAGCGCTGGCCTCCTGCTGACCCTGATCTCCCCTCAGAGACTGCGTCTCCCCCCCAAAATGGCCTCACCTGGCCTGACACCTACTCGCATGCGGTGCTGGCCCTGCTGACCCCACACTGGCACGAAGGAGCTCACGGGGCAGGCGATGCCCGAGGTGCTTGCCCACATCTCCATTCCCCGCTGATCCGCAGCTGAGGGCAGACTGAGGCCAACATTGGCGGGGGTGGGGGGGCACCAGTCTGGATTCAAACTCTGTCCTTCCCAGGACACCAAAAAAACATGGTGCCATGGGACCCCAGGACACGGGACTGTCCCCACAGACACGGCAGGACCCACGGGCAGGCCAGGTCGACGAGGTCAACACCAGGCTCTCCCACTCTCCCCCACCCCGCCCCACACGGACCCACATTTTGGACCCTGACAGGGATGAGGTCCCGGCAAGCAGGCCTCACCTGCACCGGCACCAGCCCACCAGCCCTGTGGCTTCCCGCACACCCAGCCGGACACCACACCCACAGCTGTGTGGGAGGTCTGTGTTGCTATGGCAACCCCAAGACTTGAAACCCTGCTTCTGGCCGGCTTCCCTCTCCTGCCGAAAGCTCCTTCCACCTGCGTCCACCGCTGTCCTCCCTCCGAGCCCCCGAGCGCACCACGGTGCACAGGAGGGTCCCAGGCCCCACTCGGGGTCCCTGGAGGGTCAGGCAGGGAGGAGAGAGGTGTGTGATGGACACACCTGCCTCAGGACACGTGATGAGAGGGCAGGACAAGTGGCTTCAGGCAGAAGCCCCCACCAGCACTCTGGAGGCACAGCCCACCCGCCCCAGCCCAGGCCTCTCCTGACAGCGGACAGCGGGTAGCAGAAGACCCATCCCGTGAGCCCTGGACGGAGGTGACACCGAACCCGGTCAGGTCCCAGCCCAGCCTGGTGCAGAGACAGCACCCAGGTGTGTCACAGACCAGCTGGGCAAAGGGGGGGGGGCAAGATCCAGGGCAGCTCCCCCAGCAGGAAGCTGAGGTGCAGCAGGGTCGGGACTGGGGTCCCCAGGATGAAGTCACCCCCCTCTGTCGGCAACCACCCCACGCTTCAAACTGAGGCCACGAAATGCACTCACATGCCCTGTGCCCTCTGCTCCCCTTCCATGCACCTGTGTCCAAGCCAGTCTGTGGCCCGCTCCCGTCCGGCTACTGGACTCAAGGCCCTTCTGCCGGACCTCTGGAACCCACAGTCCACAGGGCACCTGTCACTTGGACAGGCCGGCACCTGGGCCCTTTCCTCCCCAGGGTGTGGCCTGGGGCCTAGAGGCACCGTGTCAGGGTGGGGACGCTGAGGTGCTGGCCCCTCTGAGAGAGGCTCCCCAGGTAGGAGGGTGGGGCAGCCTTGAAGGCGCCCCCTGCGCCCCGCTGGCTCCGCCCCTGGCCCTCCAGCCATCTGTAGTCACCCTGAACCTCCCGTGACCCTTCTCCGCTCAGGAGCCCCAGGCTGGCTTCAGTCCCCACGACACAGCTCCGCCCAGTCGGCCCGGCTGGCATCCGGGACCTGCGTCCGCCATCCCCTGAGGTGCCCCTGGTGCAGGTCTCACCCCACCAGGCAGTCACTGCAGCTCCCCCGCAGAGCCCGGAGCCCAGACCCGCCTCCCCTCCCCCTCCCAGTCCCAGCGTCAGCACCTGTTGTGGCCGCTCCCAGGACGGAGCTCACCTCGCTGTCCCTCAGACACCGCGTCATCCGCAGGGAGGCACGGCCCCCGCCAGCAGAAAGGTCGCGATTCACGGAAGGTTCAGACAGCGACATCTCCACACGGAAGCGTTTTGTGACGCAGGTGTGTGCACTGTTCTGTACACTTTGCCACTGCACACGGGACAGTGACATACGTTTTCCATGCGCTGGGAAACCAAGCGACACGAGACTCGCTTTGCTGCGGCTGGACCGGCCACGGTGTCTGGGGGCCTGGGCGCAGGAATCGGACAGCAGCTTGGGGAGGTTCTGCCTCAGGGCCTCAAGGCCCCTCCCAGGGCCAGGCGCAGCCCAGCCCCTCCACTCACCGACCCTCCCCCTGCGGCAGGGGCGTCTGCCACAGCGCAGAGCCGGGGCGAGCGGAGACCAGGGTGTGGCTGCTCTCTCCCTCAGCAGGGAGTCGATGTCTGGCCCACACGCGGGCTGTGGACACTCTAAACCGCCGCTGACACCCACACCTCTGCCGCTCCCCCACGCCGCAGTCACCCCTCCGAGGCAGGGCGGCAATGACCACATCCTGTGCCCTTCCGGTTTCTCGGGGAAGATGCTGGGACGCCACACCCTGCCTGAGAGGGCAGGTGTGAGGCACGAGGCATGAGGAGAGAGCCGGGCACCGCGTACAAGACCCGGCTCAGGGTTTGCCCTCTGCCCAGCGGAGCTTGTCCACAGCAGAGTGCCGGCCGAGCTCCCGAGAGACCCCAGGCCCCTTGCTCCCTCGGGTGGCTCCTGACCCCTCCACAGCTCCACTGGAAACACCCTGACAAGACCAGCCAGGGACCCACAGACCTCACTCCGTCCCCACCCACCAGGAGGGAGACCCCAAGGACCAGGGAGTCATGACCCAGCCAAGAGGCAGGGGGAGGTGAACCCTCTCCAGGATCCTACCCCAGGGAGTTGCTGGCCTGGGAGAGGACTAGCCCCCTCCACAGTGCTTCTGTAGCCCGGCAAAGGCACAGACAGGGCGTGTCCCCGTGCCTGGGTCTTCCCCACAGCCCCACCAGGGGGACTCGGCTGTCCCTTTGGCTCCAGAGAGAAATCTGAGCTCAGAGGAGCCCGAAGACCTCACCAGGGGCTGGTGCTGCAGTGCCTGGGCGGAAGCAGGGGGCAGGGGTGCGGGCTGGGGACCGGAGCAGAAAGGGGGCTCTTCTCCGGAGAGCTGGGGGTTGATGGCCCCCACTTTCAAGACGAGGTCCACCTGGCCACTGCCCACCCCTCATCCCTGCCTGCCTGGTGCAGCCCGACTGCTCCCTGCGGGTCAGCGAGGTCAGGCACTGTGGAGTCACCCTGGACACGCAGCCGTGCAGAAGGTCACGGCCCCCAGGAGCCCCCCTCGGAGTCCGTCGAGGTCACTGCCTCTCTGCCTGGTGTGGCCCATTCCTCCCAAACTTTCCCCTCAGCCAAGTGCCATCACAGAAACCTGTACAGAACCACCTGGCCCATCCACCTGGCCCAGCACTTCAGTCCGGGTCGCCCGCACCACCCCTAAGAAGCCCCTCTGATAGGGTCCCCTGCCCCGAGGGTCCACCAGGCAGAACCGGGCCCACACGAGCCAGGAGGCCTACGCGCATCTCGGGGCACCCAGGGGGCGCCTCTGCTCATCTCTCCTCAGCGCGCCCCTCAGCGCCGCTCCAGGGAGGACAGGCTGGTGGGGCGGCGGACACCAGGTGGACGAACACCCACACACTGGCTCCACGGGAACCTGCCACTGCAGGAGAGAGGCGCCCTGGTCGTTGTCCACAGAATAGAAGGTAACAGCCCTGGCACGGGAACTAGTCACACCCCTTACCAAAGTTGGAGGCGCGGTGGGGGCGGTGGGGGTGGGGCGGGGGTGGCCAGGGGAGGAACACAGGGCAGGTAGGAGGACCACACACGCCCACCATGGACAGCCCCCAGCAGGGGTCAGGAACACCTGCTGCCAGGAGAGCATCCTGGTCAGCAGGCGGGTGTCACGGGCCTCCTTCCTGAGCCCGAGGTGCGGGTTCAGGTTGAATGCATGCAGGGGTCACACCTGGAAAACATGCATAAATACATGGAGACGCAGGGGCACAGGCCCGCAGCCACGAGCGCTGCAGCCACGGAGGCTGGGGCTTCAGAGCCTCCCGGGATCAGCCCACGGGCCAGGGAAGCAGAAGCCAGCCGGAGTCAGCAAATCTTGTTCTTTCAGGTGCCTAAGGTCACCTGGCCCAGGGCTGCAGGTGGAGGCAGAACAGTCTTCTCGACATCGCAGGAGGACTAGTTGCAAAGTCACCAAGTCACAGCTTCCATGTGCAGATGGGGAGCAGGCTTCTCCAGTGAACTCCCCAGGGAGACACCCCCACCAGGGTCCCACGGCCCAGTGTGCACAGCGTCACTCGAGCAGGTCTTGCCAAGCCCCACCTGTCACCCCAGCTCCAAAGGTGAAACCGTCCTCTGATTGGGGACCAGAAGCTCAGGCCTCCCCCAGAGACACCTGGAGACTTGGAAATGAGGCAGGGGGTCAGTCACTGTGGGTGCAGAGCAAAACCCATCCCAACTGCCACCTGCCAAGGCCACCAAGAGCCAAAGAGGGCACAGGGTCCTGCCAGCGCACAGTGGCTGGCGTCTGAGTTCAAGGACAGGAGAGACTGTGAGGGAGACAGCGCCAGGAGGGCACAGGGACCCCAGGTGGGGACGCTCGGCATTGAGCAGTCACGACCAGGTACACAGGCTGCTTCGCAAACGATGACAGAGCAGCCTCCTGGGGTCCCCAGCTCTCACCCCAGCCCCGCAGCTCCTCACACTTGGCCAGGCCTCTGCGGCCAGTTCACTGCACTCGGGGGGGGGGGGCGGGGGGGAGGCTGCCTGCGGGGTGTCTGGAGCGGAGCAGACTCAGGGACAGAGGCCGCACAGCGCGAGGCTCAGGAAGGTCCATGGCAGCAGCTCCCAGGGGAGGGTGAGTCCCACTGCCCTGGCGCAGACAGCAGACAGCAGACAGCACGGGGCAAGGGGCACGGGGCACGGGGACTGTACACACTGCTGCCGCTCCTCCGGGTGTGTGCCCGCCCAGGGCACACCGGGCGCAGCAGAGGAGAGGCCATGGAGTCCTGTGAATCACAGTCCTGGGTCCACGTGAGCTCTGGCCGGGCACACTCACTGGCGAGTTCTCGTGCACACCCCTGCCCTGCACCAGGAGGGCAGCTTTAGTGTGACTGGGCCATGGGCAGCCCTGATGCCCTGACCTGTTCCATGACGTCACCAGGCCCTTCGGGCCACAGGGAAGCCCCCGGAGGCAGTGATGCTCAGGGCTCAGGTTGTGCGTCAGCCTAGAGAGCAGTGACCTGGGTGAGCTCCGTGTTGGGTGTTGACGGGCTCTGTGGGCTGACGGGCGCCATGGGCAGGTCCACGCCTAGTCATGCAGGCCGTGGCACTGTCTCAGAGGTCTTGCAGGCGAGGGTCACACCCTTGGCCGTGCTGCGCGTGCGGCTGGACGCGGGCCCCTCCCGGCGCAGGGCAGGCGTGCAGCAGAGCGTGCGAAAGCAGGCCTTGAAGTTCTCGTCCAAGAAGGCGTAGAGCACGGGGTTGAGGCAGCTGTTCACGTAGCCGAGAGCCGTGCAGAAGCGCAGGACGGCCACCGCCGTCTCGCTGCCTGGCTGGACGCCCAGCCCTTGGACCAGCACGAAGACCTGCACCGGCGTCCAGCAGCCCACAAACACCGCCACCACCACCAGCACCAGCCGCGTGATGCGCCGCAGGTTCCGGTCCTTCTCCCGGGAGCCCGAGAGCAGGCGAACACCGTGCAGCCGCCGGACCATGAGGCTGTAGCAGACGGAGATGATGAGCACGGGGATGATGAAGGAGAAGAGGAAGATGCAGACAGCAAAAAGGGGGCCCCAGTAGTCCTGCGGGCTGGGGATCTCCACCAGACACTCGATCTCTGCAGGGAGAGAAGCAGGTCAGGTGCAGCCAGGGAGCCTGGGCCCGGGCCTGGGGAGGGAGGGCCACCCGACTGACCTTCATCCTCGACCTGTGCCGAGCCCATGATGGCCACAGGGATGCCGACGACAGAGGCCAGGGCCCAGATGGCCACGTTGACAGCCTGGGCCTTGCTGGAGGTCCGGACATCGAGGGCGCGGATGGGGTGGCAGATGGCTACGTAGCGGTCCACGCTCATGGCGGTCAGCGTGAAGGTGCTGGTGAACATGTTGTAATAGTCGATGGCGATGACAGCCTTGCACAGGGCATTCCCGAACGGCCAGAAGCCCAGGAGGACATCTGTGCCCTGGAAGGGCAGTGTCAGCAGCACCAAGGTGTCTGCCAGGGCCAGGTTGAAGATGTAAATGTTGGTAGCTGTCTTCATCTTGGTGTGTCTGCAGGGAGCACAGGGAGGGGACAAGGGTGGCTCCATTTGGCCCCCGGTTGGACCTGGGAGCAAAGCTACCAGGAGGGGCACCCACTCTGAGACCCTCGTTAAAAAGCAGGCTTCTTGCCTGGCAGGTTTGGCTCACAGTTAGAAGGTCGGCCTGCGGACCAGAGAGTCCCAGGTTCGGTTCCCGCTAAGGGCATGGACCTCAGTTGCAGTTTGTCCCCAGCCTACCAGGGCCGTGTGGGTGGCAGCCACTCAATGTGTCTCTCTCACATCGATGTTTTTCTCTCTCTTCCTTTCTCTCTCCCTCCGCTCTATCTTAAGATAAACGCAAAAAAAAAAATGTCCTCGGGTGAGGATAAGATAAAATAAAGCTCCTGGGCACTGAGCCTGGGGACATCCTGACAAGCTGCAAGTCCTTCCAGGACACACAGGAGGGTCCCACCTGGCAGCGGGCTGCGTGGGACAGGCTGTGAGGGCCGAGCACACCCCGCCCTGCGGGGAGCGAGAGCGGAGACCCTGGGAGAGCACCCGGCCTCGCCCTGGAGTCTCCTCCAGACCCTTCATGGATGACGACGCTGTCCCTGCAACTGCCAGAGTTCTCCAGGGCTGCAGGGCCATGAGACCAGGGCCTCCCAGGCCACAGTGCTATCTGACCATGGAGACAGGAAATGGTTTCAGTGATGGGAGGGGAGCTAATGAGATCTGATTGTACCTAAGCACCTGGAACAGGGCTGGGAAAACTGTGGGTGCTCCAGAAATAGTTGTTAAATGAAGTAATAACTGTGACAGTGGTGGTGGAAGCAATGGTGATGGCAGCGGAAGTGGTGATGGTGGTGGAGGTGGAGGTGGTGATGGTGGTGGAGGTGGAGGTGGTGATGGTGATGGTGGTGGAGGTGGAGGTGGAAGTGGTGATGGTGGTGGAGGTGGAGGTGGAGGTGGTGATGGTGGTGGAGGTGGAGGTGGAGGTGGTGATGGTGGTGGAGGTGGAAGTGGTGATGGTGATGGTGGTGGAGGTGGAGGTGGAAGTGGTGATGGTGGTGGAGGTGGAGGTGGAGGTGGAGGTGGTGGTGGAGATGGAGGTGGTGATGGTGGTGGAAGTGGTGATGGTGATGGTGGTGGAGGTGGAGGTGGAGGTGGTGATGGTGGTGGAGGTGGTGGTGGTGATGGTGGTGGAGGTGGTGGTGGAAGTGGTGATGGTGATGGTGGTGGAGGTGGAGGTGGAGGTGGTGATGGTGGTGGAGGTGGAAGTGGTGATGATGGTGGAGGTGGAGGTGGAGGTGGAGGTGGAAGTGGTGGTGGAGGTGGAGGTGGTGATGGTGGTGGAGGTGGTGGTGGAAGTGGTGATGGTGATGGTGGT